ATGGAGTTCATTATACCCAGGATGAAAATGATGTTATGTGTAGGCTAAATATTTGTGTCTAAGCTTCTGCAGATATTATTACAGCATGAGTGGCATCACAGACAGCGTGGTTTAGTTCAGGATTTGTCAGCTCACTGGGCCTTTTGCTAGAAGGCAGAACTAGAATGCCCACAGGAATCTTGACAGATGCAATTTTTACTTATGGACTAAGGTGGTGGTCCAGTAGGAACAAGTGATTTAAACTTCTGCCTTGGGGTTTCTGTTTCTTTAAGGCTGAAAGGAAAATAGTCGGCAAGAAGTATTTTCTAACCTCTCATGTTAACCTACAGTTAGCTTTGTTAGCTTGTTGTTCCACTTGATGAGTAATTGGCCTGGTGTAAATATCAGAACTTTGAGTTGAAATTATTTTCAAAACCAGTGGCAGTGCTTTCTAGGGAAGCGCGCTAAGCAGATAGGACAACTCGAATTTTGATTAAATCAAGAGATTTCAGAATGATGGAAATTAATTTGTACTGCAGAAAAATTTTATTTTTTTTTAATTGAATATGTTGAGAAAATGTAATTCTAACTTGCATTTGCAAAGAGCTTAGACTCGAATACCAGCTAAAACAACAATAGCAAAGAAAATGCCAGTTTGCATGTTATTGCCAAGTCAGGACGTGCCACTCGTGTTTGCACATGTCTGTACACTGGGCATTCTTTCTATCTTCCAGTACTGAGAATAAATTCTTGCATTTCATCTGGTTCCAACATCTCCTGCAAATAATAACGTTACTGAAATGGAACTCAAATAACTGCCTTCAAATCTCACTAACTGCACCTTGGAGTTACCTGGGTTGGAAGTTGTCAGTTTAACTAATACTGAGTTTTAGGCTATATATGGCTTCCATGAGTAAGAAAATAACCAGAAACAATACATTCTGTGTTTATTACACTTTAGTGATATGTGAGCACATAAAGTAGTTACTGTAAAGTAAGTTAGTATGTGAATTTACAGTGCATTGTTATTAGGAATGTAACAGCAGATACTGAAATTACCATCACCGAACATTGATGTGATGAGCGTTCAGAGTTGGTCTGTTCTACAGTGCTTTGTTCATGTCTTCTTACTGAAAACAAGCCCCCCTGGTCAAATTTGCAAGTGGATTAAGTTAAAAGCCCAGTGAGGGGCACTCTGTCAGCACTTCTACAAGGACTCACCAGCACTGTGGTATCTGGTCGATGTGTGTGTATTTAGTGCACTAAATTTAAATGCTGTCTGACATGCACAAGTCCTCTGAAGACAAATAAGAGGATTCATGGAAGTGTTTAGCCTGCCTTGTTGCAAACACTGCCTTAGCACCTTTTAGTGCTTAAATGACACCAAACCAAGCACTTCTAATTTTAAAATATTTTTAACAGAAAGATTCTGTTAATTCATTGAATCGGATTAGATTTACACTTCTGTTAAAGTGGTGCCATTTTCACCATGTAGCAAAACCAACAAAACCAGTTTTCAGTCACTGTCGTTAAATGAGTGCACATACTGGGTGAATATTCATCATTTTTATGCTTGCCTGTACAGCTGGGGTTAGGCTAATGCTCTTGGGCTGGGCTGGGTAATTAACTGAGCTCTGCTTAATTTAAACTCTTGCATGTAATAGACAAACCATGAGGAATACACCCTATCTATTTTCATTTGTGATAGGACATTTTGTCAAATATGTAGCACCATATGTCTATATTTATTTGGCAGTATTCAAAGGAACATTTTAAATAAATTTGATCTAAATGCACTTTGTTAAAGATGTGAAGAAATCCACTGCATCCAGCAGACTCCAAGACCTGCTTATTCCTCCTTCGGAGCTATTAAAGTCCAGAGGGGTGCAGGTCTTTCCATTCCAGTCCAGTGGACGTGGCTGCTGCTGTTCCCATTTGCAAGTTGGCCAGTAGAGAGGCTGAGGATATATCCTAGAAGTGTACACATACACCTAAGAGGACACTAATGTGGCTGTCCACACAGACTGCCACTGACAACACTGCCTTTGTAGCACCCACACGTAGTACTGCCACAATTCACGTAACACGTACATAGAGGTGGCCAGGTCTTGCTCCTCCTCCCGATATTCAGTCAGATAAATACATGCACTTGCACACCCTTCACAAGTGCACTCACACTCGCAGATCTTTCAAGTATCAGCAGAGGCTCTTGGTCTACTTAATATCTGTGCTTGAACCCTGGACTAGGGCTATGCAACCATTGGTCTTTTCATATGCAAGTCTCCTCCTGCTCACCTTCAAGTTTGCTGATGTGAATTCCACATACACACATGCACTCAGGATTAAATTCACTGGGAAAACAAACACAAACAGGTCTTCCCAGTTGTTGG